ATTTAAGCATTCAAGAGACACAAATGCATGTACAAGTTAAAGTAAAAACTATGTAAAAAATATAAAACATTAAAATTTCAATTATGTGTTAAAATATTAGCTTATTGGAACTAAGCTGGAAAAATAAATATGAAGGTCAATTAAATTATAACACATGAGGTAAAGTTCTCATTTTTAACATTTGGTGCATTTTAAATGTATTTATTTATTTAAAGGTTCATATAATTCTGCTTTTATTTCTAATTATGTCAGTTTTGGTCCTCCATACTGCAGAAGCCTGATAATCATCTGTTCATTCATATCAGATGTGTTGGAGCAGAGAAACAAGTAAAAACATGCAGGGCTGTGGCCCTCCAGTAAGAGAAGCATTTATACGGAGCCCACGAGGGGACGTTGGGGATTTGTTTTTATCTTTTGCGTTCCCTCGCAATACTAATGTGTTACCTCGCAATACTTTTTTGCGTTTCTTCACAAACACCATTTATAACTGTTGTGCCTGCTGCTTTATTAACAAATTCTCATGCTCACCATTAGACGGGAGTTAGCCTATTTAATTCAGCTTCAAAATGAACACATCACAGCCACAAAATGTAATTTGCAGGTATTTTAAATCTATTTAGCAACGCAATATCACTGCCGATTCCCCGAACTTGTGGCGACACATCCTGTTTCGGTAACCGGACGTTTCACAATAAAAGTCTGATTTAATACAGTTCTTATAAAACAAACTTTTGCATGGGAATGCAAAAAGTATTTTGAGGTTACGCAAAAGAAAAAAAAACCATTAGGGTTGGGCATAATCGTATCGTGTGCGATTAATTGTCAGAAAAACGTTGATTGATTGTTTTTTGGCACTTGACGATTAATACGATTGATGCCACCAGTCAGTCCACTCTGCTCCTCTCCACTTCAAATATGATGAACATTAAAAAAAAAGTTCTGTAATTTATTTATCTATCAACACTATTTAAAAATTGATCATGTGACTAGGACATAAGGGTGTCCAGGGGATTAATTGCTGAATTAATTGTTATCGACTAAATGCCCCCAATTAATCGTGATTAATTTTTTTGCCAATATCGCCCAACCCTATACCCCCATGTCCCCTCACAAGCTCTGTGCATTTGAACTCAGTCCAATCTGAGAAACGTATAGGAAATACTTTGAAATTTAAGAAGGTTAGTGTCAAAATGTGTTTTTGAATTGTCGCTTTTTGTTCTAATCATTTTAAAATAATACGAACACTTTTGTGTTAAAAGAAGGGCGCCTCATTTTGTTGAGCTGCAGCGAGGTTCCAAACTGCAGCTACTCCTGAGTCTTATTTTTTACATTTATTTAAAAAAAAGNCAGCGAGGTTCCAAACTGCAGCTACTCCTGAGTCTTATTTTTTACATTTATTTAAAAAAAAGTAATTTTATTAAGAGATTTATTTAAATTGTCAGTCAATCTTTTTGGTCCTCTCTCTCTCTCTCTCTCTCTCTCTCTCTGTTTTTAAAAAGACATGTATCTGAAAAATCAGATTGCATTTCTTTGTCAGCACTGTTCCAGCCAGTGGTCATAAATCAGTGTCTGTTTAAATGATGCAACAAAGAACTCCTTGCTAGAAAACAATTATCATATCCTCAGCACAACTCAAGAACTCCTGACCGCTTTCCTGTCCACCATGAATCACGCTGCTCCTCGGCACTGCGTTCAGCAGCAGCTCCGGCCCTGCAGCAGAGCCTCTGTTCTTGGTACCACTGCGTGGGGTTTTTATAGGCTCAGCTATGTGGGGCCAAGTGAGGACAATGTCATGCCAAAGAGCTAAAGTTAGCTGTCACGATGACCGTGTACTAGTTGTGTGAATAAAAGAAGCAGAGATCAAGAGAAGGATGATGTTACGTGAGTTAAAAAGGAAAGTGGACATCTCGTACACAGCTGGACTTCTGTGTGTGAGGTCAGATCAGCTGGCAGGACGTGACTGTGTGTGCGTGCGTGCGTGCGTGCGTGCGTGCGTGCGTGTGTGTGTGTGTGTGTGTGCGTGCGTGCGTGCGTGCGTGTGTGTGTGTGTGTGTGTGTGTGTTTTAGGACAGGACAATTTATTTGAAAGCACTTTAATAGGAAAATGCTCTTTTTAGTCAACTTTTTTTTTTCAGCTGAATAAATTGTGCAAACAGTCTGGGTCGGTTCTGTTCTGAGCTTCATTTTCTGAGTGAATTAGTTTTAATTTCACAGCAAAAGTTGTCTATCTAAAAACTAGTTAAAAATGACCAGAATATAGTCTGAATCTTTTCAAATGAAGTGGAATAATCTGACAGTGCAGTAAGACGATTGAACTTACTGAAACGTGCAAAACAATCAAATCCTATTTTTATTTTTACAGAAAAGAGCCGTCAGAATTATCACCAGAAAACATTACTGTCATCCATCTAATAAATTATTTTGTAAATTGATATTATTAAAATTTTATGAGTGGGTTGGTTATAATATCTTGCAGATTATGTAAATGGCTCATAAATTTTTTTTTACCTTTAAACAATATTTTGTTACGAGAGAAAGTTTATATAATCCTAAAGGACTTGAGATGTTTATAAAACCTAAAATTTGAACAAATTTGAAGGATCGATGCACTTCAGGGAATAAGATTGTGGAATAATCTGGAAAGGGATTATAAAAATGTTGGTTCAATGTGTTTGTTTAAGAGAGATTAAAATAAGTTTGTTAAAGAAATATGAAACTGTAATGTACTGTATATCAAGTTGTATGAAAAGGAATTGAAGATTTTATTTTTTTTGTTTTTGATTATCATTGTTTGAAAATAATTTTGAAAAAAGGGCAGATATAAGATTGTTTTCTTTTTTCTGCCTCCTTTCATTTCAAGTGTGATTTTTTTTCTTTATTGTGTTTAAAATTTTTATATGAAATGAATAAATGAACTTAAAAAAACTTGGTATAACATCTTGAAATAAAAATTTCCAGGCTCACAAGATTAAAAATCTAACTTATTCTTGCTTAATATATCAGTCTAAACAAATGACCCAAAATACTTTCTGGCTGGATATAAGATTGTAAGACTTGGTCAGATGGATAATTTTTGCAGTGTTTTCCTAGTTTCCTGAATTTTCTGAAAACAGATTGAAGTTTGCTATATATTGGATAACTTTTTTAGTGCAAACCTGTGTTGTGTTGTCTTAATAATAAGCTGGTATAATATATTTTATCCTTTGTTAACAACACTACATTTTAAATAAAAACTGAACCTTAAATTGAACCTTATTTGTCTTCAAAAGAAAAGTTTGAATTTCATTTCTTTGTGGCATGT